TCTTCCCAGGATTTTATCTGACATGTTTCTGGGTGTGTGCCTCAGGATCTGTTATCTGTATTCTCTTTGTGGGTAGTTCCCAGATATGAGGTCTCTGATTTGTTTGCCGTTGTTTGCTCCAGGATGCAATGTTTATGAATGGTTTATGGGTTGTGTTTTCCAGAATTTTATGTCTGTGATCTGTTTGAGGGTGTGTTCTAGGATGTGAGGTTTCTGATCTGTTTCTGTGCATATTTCCCAGCATGTGAAGTCTGTAAATATCTTGAAGTCTGTAAACTATATGTCCCAAGATGTGATAACTCTAACCTCTTCGTGTATATTATCAAGCTTTTGAGGTCTCTGGTTTGCTTCTTGCTGTTTGTTCCAGGATGTGAAATCCCCAGCTGTTTGTGGGTATGTTTCTCAGGGTGTGTAGTTTATGATCTGTTTGTGGGTATATATCCCAGGGTTTAAGGTCTCTAATCTCTTTGTGAATGTATTTCCCAGGATTTTGAAGTGTATTTCCTAGAATATGCATCTCTCTGATTTATTTTGCTGTACGTCAAAGGGTGGGCAGTATCTGAACTCTTTGTGGGTGTACATTCCATGGGGTGTGCTCTGATGTTTTGCAGGCGTGCCTTAAGATAGGAGTCTCTGTTGTAATTATGGGTGTTGTGTGCTAAGACCTGAGTTCTCTTACTTCTTTTTGGGTTTATGTCCCAGGATGAGAAGTCTTTCATCTAGTTTTGTGTGTCTTTCCAACTTGCAAGCTCTACTGTCTGTGGGTGTATGTCCAAGGGTGTGAAGTCTGATCCATTTGAGGGTCCGTGGCCCAGGGTGTCAGATTTGTTTGTGGGTGTCCATCAGGATGTGAGATATCTCTTATGGTTGTTTGTCTCAGGTGTGACAGTCTGTCCTTGTCTGTTTGTCAACAGTGTGTGGTCTCTGGTCTATGGCTGTGTGTCCCAGGTTGCCACCTATTTTCCTTTGATCTAGCATGTGAGGTCTCTGAGGTGTTTTGAGTTTATGCCCCATGATTTGAGTCTCTGGTCTCTTTGTGGGTATAGGGCTCAATGTGTGAGCTACCTGACCCATTTGGTTTATTTCCCAGGATGTGAGTGCTCTGATCTGTGTGTGGGTGTATGTCCCTGAATGCTATTTCTCTGAAATATTTGTGAATATAAAGCTCAGTTCATGTGGTTATTTTTGTGCATATGTCACAGGGTGTGGGGTCTGCTCTTTGGGAGCATTTTATTTCTTAGAATTTGAATTCTCTGAGCTGTTTTGTGTCCAGGGGTGAAGGGCCCTGGCCCTTTTTGGGTGGATAAGTCCCACGATTTGAGGGCTCTGAATGATTTGATGGTTCTGTATCCCAGCATATTAATTCTCTGAATCCTAGGATTCAAGAGTTCTCAGCTTTTTCTGGTCTACATTCCAGGGGTGAGTTCACTGAGCTGTTTGGGTGACTGTCCTACAATACATGGTCCCTGAGCTCTTTTGGTTCGAGAGCTCCTTGACCTGTTCGGGATATATTTTCAGGTATGAAACCTCTTCCTCTTGGGAGGTCTGTCCCAGGGTGTGTTCCAGGGTACGGTCTGTGAGCTTTTAGTGGTGTGTGTGTGTGTGTGTGTGTGTGTGTGTGTGCGCGCGCACATATGCCCCAGTTAGTTTTTCTGAGCTGTATGAAAGCCTTTATTTTGTGTGTAAAATCTCTCAATGCTGTGGTGGTGTCTGTGCAGAGTATGGTGTCTCTGAACTATTTAGAAGTCTCTCTTTTCAGGTCTGAGGGCCCATAACCCTCAGATGAGGACTCTGATGTGTTTGAGTGTCTGTGCTCAGGGTGTGAACACTTTTGAGCCCATATCCTAGGGAGGGAATGAGTTCTCTGTGATGTTGTGACTTTTGTCCTCGGTGTGATTTTTCAGAGCAGTTTCAGAATCTGTTTCCTGAGTTTGATGTCTGCTGTTTCAGACTTCTGAGGAGTGTCCCTGAGTGTGACCCGTATCCCTTGGCGGTGAGGTCCCTAACTGTTGGGGTGTGTTTCCAAGGGCACAGTACAGTGGGGCCTTGACTTACGAGTTTAATTCGTTCCATGACGGAGCTCGTAACTCAAACTACTCGTATGTCAAATCATAAAGTGAACGAGTGAGACACGTGATGCTGGGCTGATGTCGTGGTGTTCACTGTGACGTTCGCTGCGCCAACTAGCGGTGGGGTATCTGAAGCTGGCTCATAACCCGAATTTTAGCTCGCAACTCAAAGCAAAAGAGACGAGAGATGCTCGTATCTCGAAAAACTCGTTAGTCGGGACACTCGTAAGTCAAGGCCCCACTGTAGTTCCTATTGAGGGAATCTCAGTTCCAGAGTCTGAGGTCTCTGAGTGGTTTGGGGTTCTGTTACCAGTGTGATGTCTCTCAGGTGTTTGGGGGCGGGGGGTGTCTGTGTACAGATGGTTATGTAGGTGAGCTGTGTGGGGATGTGTCCTAGGGTGCGAGTTGTGTTAACTCCGAGCATTTTGGCATTGTCTAACGTGTGGGGCCTCTGGAAAACCTGTGGGTCTGCTTTGCAGATTGTGAGGTTAATGAACTCCCTGAGAGTTTCTGTCCCATAATGTGAAGTACTTGAGCTGTGGGGGCTACGCAGCCAAATGTGCTGTCTCTGAGCTCTTTTTGTATCTCCCAGGTTAGAAGTTCTCTGAAGCCCTAGCTGGTCTGGCTCAGCGGATAGAGCATCGGCCTGCAGACTAAAGAGTCCAGGGTTCAATTTCAGTCAAGGGCACATGCCCAAGTTGCGGGCTCAATCCCTAAAAGGGGGCATGCAGGAGGCAGCTGATCAATGATTCTCTCTCATCATTGATGTTTTTCTCTCTCTCCCCCTCCCTTCCTCTCTGAAATCAATAAAAATATATATATTTTAAAAGTTCTCTGAGTTGTCTGAGAGCCTGTGTCCACAATGTAAGGTCCCTCTGCTGCTATGGGTCTCTGCTGTTTGTGGCAGACTTTGCACAGAATGTGAGGTTTCTAGGCTATTTGATCTCTGTCAATTCTGGATATGAGTACAAAGGGTAAGTTCCATGAATGGTTCTGAGGTCTGAATCCAGGGTATGATATTTCTGAATCATTTGGAAGTTCGTGCTTACAGTGTGAAGATTCTGAGCTGTTTGGGGACTTGAAGCCAGGATGTGAGGTTTATAAGCTGTTTGGGGTCTGTGTCCAGGTTGTGTGATCTCACACATATTTGAGGTATCACAAGTGTGAAGTCTCTAAACTATGTAGAGGATTAGTATTCAGATTTTCAGATCTTTGAGCTCTTCTGCAAACCAAGTGAGGCCTCTTGGGGGTCTCTCGGTATATGAAGGCTCTGAGCTATTTTTAGGAAGTCTGTGTCCAGTACATGACCTCTCTGAACGGCAATCTGTGTCAAGATCATGGTCTCTGAGCTGGTTCAGGGCCTGTGTTCGAGTGTAGGACTTGGGAACTCTTGGGTATTGTGTTCAGGGTATGAGGTCTCTTAGTTGTCTGGTGGTCTGGAAGAGGATGTGAGGTCTCTGAACTATTTGTCCATCTCTCTCCCAGTGTGTAAGTTCTCTGAGGAATTGGTGGGTCTGTATCCCTGGTTCTGAAGTGTCTCAGCATTGTGGGGGTCTGTAGGCAGACTTTCAGATGTGTGGGTTACAAAGCTTGAGGTCTCTGAAGCATTTGGTAGTCTTTCCTCTGGTGCCCTATTCTGAACCATTTCGGGGTGTCAGGTGTGAGGTCTCTGAGCTATACACAGATCTCCTCAGCGTCAGAATTCTCTAAACATGGCGCTGGGCTGTAAGATCTCTAAGCTCTTTGGGGTCTATGTCTAAGACTTGAGGCTCTAAGTTGTTGTGGCACCATATTCTAGATCAGGGGTGGGCAAACTTTTTGACTCGAGGGCCACAATGGGTTCTTAAACTGGACCGGAGGGCCGGAACAAAAGCATGGATGGAGTGTTTGTGTGAACTAATATAAATTCAAAGTAAACATCATTACATAAAAGGGTACGGTCTTTTTTTTTTTTTTTAGTTTTATTCATTTCAAACGGGCCGGATTCGGCCCGCGGGCCGTAGTTTGCCCACGGCTGTTCTAGGGAGTGAGGTCTTTGGTGTGTTTAGTTTTTCAGGATGTCTCTGAGCAATTTGGGGGTCTGTGTCCAAGAAGTAAGGTTTCAGGATCATTTAGGGATCTGTGTTCCGAGTGTGAGGTCTCAGGTGTTTGGGGTGTGACATCTCAGCTGTTTGGGGATCTGTCCCAGGATGGGAGGGCTCCAAGCAGTCTGGGAATCGATTATCAGGGGTGAAAACTCTGAATAACTTAGATAACAGTATCCCAGGCTGTGATGTCTTTGAGATGTTTGTACATTTCTATCCCAAAAGAAAGTTCTGTGATGTGTTTGGGGTCCAGATCCCAGCATAGGAGGCAGCATTTAGGTCTTGGGGCTGTTTGCGAGTCTGGCTCCCTAGTTTTGGTGTAGCCTGTTATTCAGGGCCTATGTCCCAGATCTCTGAGCTGGATCCCAGGTGTGAGGTCTCTGAGGTCTGGGGTTAGTACCCAGAGTACATGTCTGTGAGCTGTTTGGAGGCCTATGTCCTACGTGCTGTGTGTGGAGGTCTCTTAGTTTTTTAGGATTCTGTCACCTGTATGTCAAGTCTCTGAAATCTTTGGGTAAGTGTGTCACAGCATGTGACGTCTCTGAGCAAGAACAAAAGTCACAGCCTCACATTCAGGTTGAGGGATGATCAAAACAAGTATATCTGAAACATCATCTCCTTACTCTCCACTTTCTACCCTGGTGCACATTAGATGCTCAATAATTATTTGCAGAAATTGTAAATACAACAAAAATACACAATTTTCTGTTTGAATGGAGTAGGCAGGCTTTGGGTTCAAAGTCTCTAAGAGCCGGGAGGGCCCAGCTAGAATTGTATCATATTTCTGTATTTCCACCGTATTTATTTCTCGGGTTATTTTTCTTTATAGCTAATGATAATGGTTTGTCTATTGAGACAGCAATGGATTTAGTTTGCTTTTTCAGTGCATTTTAAAATTTTAAGTATAAAACAAGCTTCTTTTAAGTCAAGATGTTAGGGAGACAATGGTGGAGGTGGTATGCTGTGGGGGTGTTCTAGTCAAATGGTTGAGGTTTGAGGAACATGTCCCTGGGTACCCCAGCTCCCAGCCTCTCATCCCCCCAACCCCACCTACGTGAGGTCTTCAATCCCCACACCTTGGTTTGTTTAGTCAGCAACTCATTTTATTGATGCCTACCCCAGGCTGGGTCGGGCCAAGAAATATACAAGAGGAGAATGAGATTCAGTCCATGCCTGAAATTCAGTCTAGGGGCAGGGAGCACAGACACACAGACAGCCACACAGATCTGGTGGCAGGGCACAGTCTCACAGAGGGGCACTCTGGGCACAGGTACTCAGGGAAGGCTTCCTGGAGAAGACCTCACAGGGGAAGCAAGGGGTGAGGCAGCCATCAGAGCCTTCGTCTTCTGTACATCTGTGGGCAGGTAACTTTTGAGACTGTACTTGGCCTCCTGCCATATGGGCCCTTTCCTAGGATCCACCTCCACAGTTTTTAAGGCTTCCCTGAGACAATCTATGTAGACCAGGTGCTCAGCCCAGTGCCTGGCACCTCAGCACCACCCCATCAATGCACATTTTTGTCCTAAGTGCTATCTACAGCCTACCTAGGTCTTGGTTCCAGCTCTGAGTAGTCCCAGCAGTCGTCACACGCCGACGGGGCTCCCAGGCGCCTTCTGTGCACCTCATGGGCAGAGCTCAATCCCAGTCCACCTTAAGGGTTCGGAGAGTCTGGACTGCCTTCCTCTCATTGGCCAGTGACCAGTGAGCCATGGGCATCCACTCTCCTTCCAGTGGCATGTGGGCAGCTACTTCTGGGATGCAAAGCCTACATGTGAGCATAAGCAGAAACCAGTCCCCAGCCCTACAAACCCTCTTTCTTTCACCAAGTGGGCTGGGAAGTCTGAACTCTGATGTCAGCCTGCGCTGGGGTGGCTTCCACACTCCTGGAGCAGTAGGGAGAGGGCCTGCAACAGACCTCTCAAGCTCCAGGCTGAAGCAGGTGAATAACCACCTTTCTATTCTGGGGCTGGGATTCACCCCTGGGACCCCCTTGATAGGCTGTGAATCTCAACTGCAGAAACTCCTGATGTTGACAACTTACTTCGCAAAATGGACAGAGGGTTGTTAAGTGCAACCCATGGAGCTGGGACGGGGAGAGGGGATTTCTGAAAATCAGTCCTCACCACAACCCCAAGAAGCACAGGGCAGGTGGGGGCGGGTGGAAGCAGGCGGGAGGCCCTGGCAGTCATTCCTCAACAGGAGGGCAAGTGGGTACAGGGGTGGGTGAGATGGGCTTTAGGCCCCCACAGTCAGTCTGGCCTCAGATTTCGAAGGGCTAGAAGAGGTATTTGCGGCAGGATTCAGTCCCACACTTGCATTCAATACGGACCCGCTTCTTGGGGGAGCCGGGGAGCACAGCCAGGCCAAAGTTGGAGTCCATGCGGGTGCTCTCCATGTCCACGGGGTCCACTGTGGAGTCACACAGCCAGGGAGGGCAGGAGGGGGGAGGGGACTTGTTAGAAGGCCTAGGTGTAGTGTCCCACTGCCCCTTTACCATGAGACCCAGGGATCTTGGGGGCTGGGAACAGGTCTGGGATTTGGGTCAGGAGGGGGGGTCATGGAGTTGGTAGTTTGGGGCTGGGGGCAGGGCTTAGCACTAGAGGGTGTTCACATGTTAGGAAGATGGCCAGGATTTGGGGGTTATACGGGGGAAAGGAAGATGGCCAGGGGTTGTGGGGAGGCAGGGGGTGTTGGGGAGAACCAGGAGGGTTGTGGCAGGCAGAGGTCCGGGAATGAAGGGTCACCTGGGCATCAGAGGGATATCTGAACTCTCCTGCCAAAGATCCCCTCTTGAGTGTCTCAGAGGTGGCTAGTTTGTCAAGTAGGGGACTGGTTGGAGGCCATAGGGTGTCCAGAGGCTTAGAACGAGGAAAGCCAAAAAGGGTTAGGAACAGGGAGGGTTGGGGGACTGAGGATATTTCAGACAAGATTGAAATCAGGAGAAGTATTAATTCTCAAGCCAAACATCTTCCTCCCCCAGGAGTCTTGGGAGAAGTTGGTCCAAGGGTTGGGAATGAGGGGACCCCCAAAGGGTAGGCAGGGGTCCAAAAGTCCAGATGGGAGATTGGGAGTCAGAAAGAGCATCTTAAAGCTCCTTGGGGAGGGGTCTTTGTGTCCCATGTCACTGTGTGCCCCTGCCCCCAGTCCCTTGACACCCCCACCTTGCATGTTGTAATCAAAAGTGAGCTCCTCGCCTGCCCAGATGGTTCTTGTGGCAAAGAAAGCAATGCGGGGCAGCCGCTCATCAAGGTTGTCTATGAAGACGTTGTACACCTGGAGGTTGGGGTCGCACTGGGAGAAAGAGAACAGCAGGAGGGTGAGGAGGGGCCCAGCCTGCTCCTCCCGACCCTCGCCCACCTGCAGGGTACCCACACTGTGGTTGACAAAGTGGGAGATGTTGCCATAATAGGCGGCATCCACAGTGTACACATCCTCCACGTAGTCCAGGTCGAAGAGGTATGTAGCACCCTGGCGGTCGTAGATCTGGCCCCGCCGCTCCGCCTCCTCCGAAGTAATAATCTGGGGAGAGGGTCATGGGAGAGAAGGGATTGATCAAGAAGGCTCAGGAAAGTCAGCACAGTGCCTGGCCCTCCAGGAGGAGAAAAACAAGTGAGCAGGGAGGCACCCCACCCATGTGGCTGGCAGGCATGGACACATGGGACGCAGTGAGGCAGAGGGTCTGTTAGTCCTCCCAGGGGACTGGGCCTCAGCAACCCACCACCCATCCATCCTCAGGCCTCTGGATGGTCTAGGGCAGCGGTCGCCAACTGGTGGTCCGCAGACCACTGGAGGTCCATGAGGTCTGAAAGGTTGGTGACCACTGGTCTAGGGGGGTCTCTCAATGGTGAGTGAAGGCTGGCCACAAGGTCTAGTGGTGATAAAGTAGTCAGACAGACAGACACAGATATAGCCCCATCATGAGACCCATAGTGAGATATAGGAGATGCAAATCAAGGGCAAGAAAGAAAAAGACTCAGGGCTCAACAGAGAGGGGAGAGGAAAGCAGGGAGAATGAGAGGCTGACTAATCCAGGGCAAGGGGGCCTGAGGCTTCACAGGACCCAGCACAAGACAAGACAGCCTGTACAGGGCCATGTACACAGCAGTGAGAAGGACACAGAGAAGCAGAAGAGCCCTGCATTGGTGGGGACAGGGAGACTGAATGGGAGACTCAGACAGGAGAGCTAGAGGCAGAGTGAGAAACAGACAGAAGCTTAATATGAAAGATCCAGGTCCAGAGATAAGACCAAGATCCCTGAGAATCTCAGATGCAAGAAAAAGGCTGAGGCCAAAAACACAGAAGGAAGATGAAAGAGAGGAGACAGGAGCTTGGGTAGGAACCCCTCCCTCAGCCCCGAGGCTATGCAGTGTTAACTACTGGAATTTAAGATGGCAGGAGACATTTCTCAAAGGCTGGGTCCCCTGCTAACCTAGTAAACATGAAGCTGCTCCATGATCCTAGCCCTGACCTGTCCTTGCCTCCCAAAGGCTGTAGATGGATTCTCCACCCCACCGCCATCCAGCCCAATCTCTCCTCTCCATCCCTCAAGTTCCCTCTTCCCCCTGAGGCCAACCATAACAGCCTTCTGGTAGTCCCCACGTGTAGCTGACCATGCCAGTCTCTGGGTGAGGGTTCCCTGGTACCTAAAACTGCCCACGCCTCAGCCTAGGGTCCCTCCAGACCAGGCAGATCTTTCTCCTCTCCCAGGATTCTACCCAGCCCTCAAAAACAAGTGCCAGCAGTGTACAGCACACAGCAGACTCGCAAGAAATGCCATTTTATTCTTTCTAGCCCAGCAACCTATACCATGTCCAGCAGTAGTCCTACTGGCAACTCAAACACTTTCCCCTACACACACACACCTTCTTCCTTCCCTCTCCTTTTGTTGCAGACCCAGTGCCCATCACCAGCCCCCTTCTGACACTGGATCTACCCTCGCCTCCTTTCTTGCTCATCCTCATGCCAGCTAGGAGCCACGCTGTTTCTTTCAGATCTCCCCTTCTAGCTTTGACCACCTTGTTTTCTCCACTCTGGATGGCCACACTAGTGTCCTGTCTCCTACCTGCCTCTTACACCAGGGCCTGTCCCCTGTCAAATGCTGATCAACAACACCTTTAGGAGAACAAGATTTATCCCTCAGATCACACTGCTCACTGCCCCATACTCCAGCTTTTCCTTCAGGAACCTGGCTCCCCTGTAGCCCAAGGATTTATTTATTTATCCACTCATTCATTCAGTGGATTTTTATGAGGCTTACCCTGTGCCTGGTCCTAGTGCTCAGAAGTCAGTGTCTGCAGGGGCAGGCATGGGTCACAGTTGGGTGGGGGAGACAACACAGGAACCAGGCTCAGTCCTGGCCCTCAGGGGTCAGTTCAGTGGGGGAGTCACAGGGACCAGGCCCAGTCCTATCTTTCATGGGTCAGTCTTGTGACAGAGAAGAGATGGATTCAGACATTCACAGTGAAAGAATGTGGAGGGTTTCAAGAGCAATGGGAAAGAGAAACACCATCGAAAGCAAACTGCAGGTCATAAAAGGGCTTTGACACTATATTGAAGAGTGGGGACTCTCTGCTGAGGGACACAACAGGAGGCACAGCAGCATTTTGAGGAAGAGGACGGCAAGGCCAGTCTCCCTCTACCTCCTGGAGAGCACGCACTCTTCTTTTGTGGTGGCAGCTCCAGATGTTACTTCTCTGTGCAGCCTTCCTCAATCTCCCAGTCCCCACCCACCAAGCCTCTCTGAAGCCCTAGGATCAAAGGGCAGCCTCTGCTGGGCTTCCAGCATACTGGGTGGTATCTGAGCCAGCTTTTGCCTTTCAGCCCCTCCCCAACCAGAGGGAATGCCCCACAACTTCCCCAGTCTCATCTTCCTGCCTGTTCTGCCCCTACCTGCTCTCCCTGTCTCACCAGGAATGAGTCACACTGCAAGCCCTCCAGGGCACAAACCGTTCCTGCTGTCTTCTTTTCAGTCCCGTTCTGTAAGGGTTGGGCCACCCTGAAAACTCAGGAACAAATCAGTTCGTGTTTCTGCTTCCTAGCAACTCTCCAGAATGACTGCGGAAGATAGGTGGGCTATAAGCTGGCAGCTTGGAAAGGGTCCTGACGTGAACAGAACCATAAGACTCTGCCCCCTCCCAGATATGGGACCCTAAATGTTCTCTCCCTACACCTGTTTCCTCAACCAAAAAAACAACAACCCAGAAAACAAAAAAATCCACCAGGTCTGGCAGGGCACCAATTTTAAACACTTGGGCCTTTTTTTTTTTTTTATCCACTTGACTAACTTTCTGACTCTGAGCCCTTTACTATACTACTCTAGGCCTCAGTTTTCCCATCTGTAGACTGGGGATGACAATGACAAAATCCCAGCCAGACAGGGGCTGTTGTAAAGATTTGACAAGATGAGGGATGTGAAAGGTGTTTCTGTTTTCGTTTCAGTTAGGAACAAAGCAGTGTTAGGAGAGGTTATACGTCCTGTATCTTGTCAAAATCTAGGATGCTCCCTTTATTTTATGTGCCCTTTCCTCAAGAAAGGAAAAACTGCTGCTTATTAAATGATATGCAATCATTTAATAAACTAATCGAGACTCACTGTCACTTCAGAGTTTTAAAATAAGAAGACAATGTTTTA